CAAATAATATACATATACATACATAGGATCATATAGAAACGATTTCTTAATGTAGGAAATAGGAACCGTAATAAACTACGATGTACTGCTATAATATATATGTAGTGCTAAAATCTGTTATATGTTCTGCTATTATATATGTAGCGGTAACAAGGCTAAAAATAATATTACACTGCTAAAGTAGCAATATGTTTAATGTATTTTAGCAGGGTTCCTAATTCCCATGTAAGAGTGGTTTCTACCAGATCCTAACCCTATATATATGTATATATATTAACTGCTACAGCCAACTTCTTAAACTCTGGGAAGATTTGCAAAAAGGTACCGAGACTTCAGTTATAGCAACTTGAGAAAAGCCTAAGTGCAATAATAGCCTGAAGCTGATGTTTATTTGCCTTCCTATTTTCCTCCTTAGGAGAACAAAAATTGCAGCTCAATATATTGGCATATGGATAAAACTGTAGTTGGTCCAACGAGCTCTTTTTCACCAAGTCAATTTCTAGGCCTAAAGTAAGGCAAACCCTAATGAGCTTCTCATTCACCAGAAAGCCTCATTATTCTAGGGATGTATACAACAAAGTTTGAAACCGAACGTTCCAGATTCGTGTAATTGATTATAAGATTTGAATTGTCACTCGAAAAATATTTACCTAGGAAATCCATGAGGGTTCATGATTAAGTCCGGACATATTCCCCTTTCTGAAAAGGGTAAATCTTCCTGCTGAACAATGGTGCCACAAACTCCTTTTTGCCCATGGCGGCTGCTAAATTTATCACCAACCTAGGCCAAAATAAGAAAAAAATCCTCATTCACTGAATATCTTATAAAAGACATTTCAACTCATGAAATTGACAGTTACATCAGTTTTAACTACCTCTGGCCTCCGAGTATCACGTATCATTAATTTGATGCATAGATTGTCATTCCTGTTACGGCAGAGTAGGACTTTATCCACAACAGTGTTTTCCCCATTAGAACCACTGTATCTAAGTGGAGTATGATAGTATGCACTGAATATATAGCCAAACATCCAAGTGAGACAATCAGTAGATCGAATGAAAATTTAAAGAGATATTGTAAAGAAGCAACAAAGAAAAAGGAGAAGGGAAAAAAATCAAAACCTATCAGACACATCCACATGAAAATTGCGTTTGCCCCTGGTGACTTTAGGAGTCCGCTTGTTTATGTAGATATCATCCTTCCGAATAATTTGTCCAGGAGCAGCTAGTCCATCACTGTCCAAAATCTGAGAATAGCGAGAAACTATAATTGAGATATATAATCCTATTGATTATTGGTGAAAAAGTAACTATGAACAAGTAACGGCAATCCAACCCATCTCTGTCTATGCAGTGTATAAATATAATAGCGAAATATTTTTAGAAAAGGAAACAAAATTCACCGAGCTTGTTTTCCTCGGGAAAAACACTGGTTTTGCCCAAATAGTATAAATTAAATAGAAAATAAAACTGAAAAACTTAAAGGACTTTCTGCTGGCTATGTCATTGTGCACAATAAAACGCATGCATAGTCCTGCATTCCTGCCAAATAATCTAGTTTCACAAAACAAATGCCAATGAAAACAGACCATAAAGCTTTTCACCAATTTATATATATCTAATGCAGAATGAAAGCCCATTGATAAAAGAATACCTGCATGCCTTTAGATCCTTTTTGCGGCCCTATAATACAGTCAGAAGTGCCATTCTCATATTTCTGGATAACTGCAGACGTTCTGTTCGTAGGTAATTAATAAATGCATCTATTACACAAAAAACTTTCTCTACTATATAAATTAAGTGAATAATTCTAAGTAGCAAAAAAGAATATGGATAAGTACCTTTTCATTACAATGCAACGCCCAAAACCATGATCCAAGGACGACTTATTCATTACAATTGCATCCTCTATGTCGTATCCACTATAACTCATGACTGCAACAGTTGCATTCTGTCCAGCTCCCAGTTTATCGTAGCTGATCTGAAAAAGGGAGGGGAAAACAGTAAAAATAATTTAAAATTATATACATAAAACTAAAAGTGCTTGTTACTGTGTAACAAGAGGCTTTCGGATCCACTAACCAGCTCAATAGCTCGTGTTGTTAGTAATGGGCGTTGAGGATAAACTAAGAGGTACAATAAATTATCCATCCTACGTAACTGCGAAAAAAGACATCTAGTTAGATGATTCAGAAAATGAAAAGTTGTCTGCAACCCTAGTGTACAGCACAAGTTGATATACATATATATATATATATATATATATATATATATATATAGTGTGTACACGATGTAATCGTGAAGTTCCAGAATAGATATGGAAAATACAACTTCAACTAGAAAATGTTAAGTAATGAAGCTTATCCGCTAGGTAAAATTTGAACCAAACTTGTAAAGCAACAGATAATCTAATGGAAAGTTCACATTTTCCAAATGTCATGATGCACAACAGTGAACATCACTCACTCATATTATCTTCCATTATGCATCATAATATAAACGACAATTCAGAAAGCTTTTAATTAAGTTGTCTCAAACTAGTTCAACCATTAGGTCTAGAAAGTAAACTTAAATAAATTGCCGAGCATAATGTAATTTCACAAGCACTTGTTTAGCATATGTATGAGAAACATTGCATGAATGCCAAAGATCTGCCAGATCTTAGTCCACCAAATGCACGACTAGAAATAGAATCTATGGAAACTGTACGAGGACAAAAGTAACTTGCCTGATTATATGCAATGTTGCCCATAGCCTGCTTACCCATAGCACACTTCACATGAAAACATAACAAAAATAATGAGTAAACACAGTTTGAGGAGACATAAACTTATCCAAAAAAAAAGGCAATACACTTTACCTGATATGTATTTCTTGGCGACTGGTTATGATGAGGATATGGGATCAACCCAGCAACCACACCCAATATGGTAAAAGGCTCGATCTCGATATGGGTTGTTCTTTCGTTAGCATCCTTTTCATATAAGGCAATCTAGAAGGATATGTACAGTTAGGAGGGCTACAATTGACTACAAAGAAAAAATTGAAAAAGAATCTTAAATTAAAGAAACAGATGCAAACCAAAGCATTGTTTTCCTCATTGGCATCAAGATATTCGACCAAGCCTTCTTTCAGAAAGCTGTCAAACGTACGGAGTCCATCCTTCAAGTGAACAAATCCCTTTTTAATCAGAATGATCGAACTAAAAGTGATAGTATATCAAGTATGTTATAGCAATTACCTTCAATTCCTTCATATGGTGCTCCTTAATTCTTGTCACGCCTTTGTCTGCAATTACAAGTGGACGGCAGACACGTCCACCATCTGAAGCAATGTAAACACGACGCTGCGAGAGGATTTTGTTTATTAGAATCTAAGATTGTAAAATATTTTAGTACCTGTTACGAAAATACAAGATGACAAACAAAACAAGGTTCGAAAGGGATAACTGATTAGATCTGCTGCAACAGTTAAGTTGAGAACAAAATCAGGCAAGAAATAAATTATGTTAGGTAATATAATCTAAAGGTGTAACCAAACGCCACCTACATTATGTGCACAACAGCGTGAAAAAGAAATCAAGATCGACATGCTACAATTTATAGTCAGAGTCTTCTGGGTTGATATTACTATAATATGAACAAATGCATCCACTAGCTCTACAAAATTACAATATAATCTTATACACACTTAAGTTCTCAGTAATAAGAGCTCACCTGTGTTCTATTCACAAAAACACTTACGAACTCGCCAATTCTACCACCCCTTCGCAGTTTCCTCATTGCATAGGCAAATCTCTTTAAAGAATCGAAAACATAAACAAAACGATGTAAAATCAAAAAGGAAAGAAATAAAAGAAGATAGTTGACGACAAAACAAAAGAGGGGTTCGACAGAGTTCTAGAACCGTACCTCCGGCTTCCTGTGCTTGCCAAGAATAAGTCCGTTGAGTATAATCAAATAGGAGTTTGGTACATGTAGTTCTTCACCTGAGAGTGAATCCAGTTCTTCTACACCAAGAGAGTAGCACTGCAGACACAAACAATGCACAAGTTATTGTATATCAGCACGCAAAGAATATTTTAAAATCTAACGTCCAGTCAACTCAATTAAATCCCTAAGCAGCAGACTTCGTAGCCACATAGGTGATATACAAAGCTCAATCCTAAAAAATAAAAACAAAGACCATACAAGTAGAGCCCATGACTTCAGATTTATTGCTTTATTGTTTTTCCTCCAAGTAATTGATAAATGGGCTTGGATAGAACTCATCCCCAAAAGCTAGCTCAAAGGGAGAGGGTACCCAACCCACACTTATACACAAGAACAGCCAACAAACTAATCGATGTGGAACAAACATAACTTCCAAAAGTTTTCAATCCTCCCATTGCTTCAATAAGGCCAATTTACAGAAATATAGAAGGATGTAAAGATGTATATGTAGATATAATCAAGAGCTGGCAAACTGAGCTTTCTTCTAATGACGTCAAAGTGTAACCTTAAAAATAAATCAAATTTGAGAATCTTCCCCATTTAAGGTAAATACCCAAAGTAGACAGTAAAGACCAGAGTTTTCTAAATAAGCAAGATACTTCATTCTACCATAAAAGCAACAAGCTGCCAAGACAGGACTGCATACCAGAGACATGAGAGGTCCTTTGTCCTCATCAGTAGTTACATGAGTCATCAGTGCCAGATTTTTCACCAATCCAGTACCTTCACCTTCTGGGGTATCACACGGGCACAACATGCCCCACTGCAGATGAAACGGTCTAAGTGAGATCACACATGAAATTGAATAATAATATCGAAGATAGTGCAAATGTTACCTGGCTGGGTTGGAGAGCTCTTGGGCCGCTAACTTTTCTTGATTTTTCGAATTGTGGAAGGATCCTTGTCAATTGACCTAAAGTTGCAACGTACGAGCCCCTGGCAACAACCTGAATGGAACATAGCAATCAACCCCAA